CATGATTTACGATTATATATCACTAGAATCTCATAAGAATATATCAACTGCTTCCTTGTTGTAGTTCTAGAGAAGCAAGTAAAAGATGATGAATAAATGGGTCCCACGGTATATCGAAGAAAACCATATTCGTGTGACTAGTAACAACAGCTACATCGTGTTTCACATTTTTAATCCCGCAAGGGATTGCACTAACAGCTTTTTCGATAGCTGTTTATTTAGTCTCATGACAATGTTTTGATATGATGAGTTTTGATCATTCACAAGGACATTACAATTTATAATGCTCTAATGATATTTAGAGAAACAACGTGCATTGTTAATGATTAATCTCGAGATTCTTAAGTAATTCCTGCTTATTATTTCTTTCAGATTTGTTTAATATACTCTTTCAAATAAAGTGCTTTTGTGACTGAAAGAAACTGGTATAAATTGATGATAAAGTTTTTCAGCTAATTTTGGTAACAAGGGTGTGGGTGTGGGTGAGTGTGCCAGAAGAGAGAGCCACATTCACACCGATTGTATAACTATTATGATTTCAGAGTGTTTTTAGAGTTTCTCAAGTTCTGACAACTGTTACAATTTCTTAGGTTTTGGGACTTCTTAGAATTATGTTTCGTTTGCTTTGATGACTTCGTCCCGTTAATGAGTTTTTAAGTGACAGAAATTTCAGAAGAGTATAGTTCATGAAATTCAACTAGCCGTCTCCTATGACTTTCAATTCAATTCATCTGAAGAAGTACTTTCTATAACTGGTGGAGGAAAACAAAACTGCGATGCAAAAGCATTCGAAGCGTTTTAAAATTCTATTAACTTTGTTTTCTGTTTGATAAAATATTGCAGAAAAAATGAGAAACTAAATAAAATCCTCAGACATGAGTTTAATAATATAATAATTCTTGGCTTTTGGGTAATATTCATCAACATCAAAATATTACCATCGAATTTTTACTATTCTAAAATCAACAACTAAAATAGGTAATTAAAATAATGATTATTTAAATTGAGTAATATCTTGAGCACAATAAAAATCTCACTCGATGATAAAAATGAAATTTACCTGATATCGGTGATAAGTATCAGTAATCATATTCAATCTTATACAGACATTACGAAGTGAAAGTAAAATTGTTAATTCATCGAGATTATCCAGGATGCGATAGACAAGCTCTACAGGTAATACCAGAAAAGATGATGCAACTTTGTTTTCCATAAATATCGCTTGCGTTCGAACAGTATGCGTCGTTAAAATGAATGATTGTTAAGTTTTTTTTTCTTTATGCGATTTGGTTATTGGCACACTAAAAAATTAAGACACATGAAGTGCATAATCAAGACGATTCGTTCGTTTAGACAAGACACTTGGCGCTGTTTCTGATTGGTTGATATGTCTCATTTAGACACTTCAAGTGTCAACAGATAACCGATTTTAGACACTGGCATGTCTTAATCGCTCCTGATTGAACTATTTCCACCAATGTATATGAGCGTCTTGCATCTGTCTTTTCTAGACACTTCAGCTAATCTATGACTTACAAATTCTAGAATAGACACGATTTTATATGAATATTAGATATAAAGTAAAATATTTTCAATAAAATAATTCTTTTCATAAATTTCACTTGTGTTCAAATTAAACTAAAAAATTAGACAAAAAATTGTAAAAAACTTCCTCATGTGTTTTTCAAATGTTAGGTGAAATTTTGAAAAAAGTTATTCAATAAAATATTATACTATCGAAAATATTTTATCTTGATAAATCTTTTTTTTTTCGAATTCCACTGAACATTTAAAAAATATATGACGAAGTTTTTTGGAATTTGTTTTTGTCTAATTCTTTAGTTTAATTTAAGCACGAGTGAAATTTATGAAAAAGATTATATTATTGAGAATATTTTCCTTATATTTAATATTCATATAAAACCGTGTCTATTCTAGAATTTGTAAGTCATAGATTAGCTAAAGTGTCTGAAAAACTAACGCTAGACAAGTCTGCAAGTGAAAATTAAAAAAAGCAATTACGAGAAGGGAGTTTTTAGAAACTTTCAAGTTAAGAATCACATAAGCATTTAAAGTCTATCTCATTCTCTATTGTGTATCCGGTTAAATCTTTTTGCTTAGCCTAATTTAAATTACATTCGCATTTTACTTTACTTCAGAATGTTGTTTAAGAATATTATAGTTATGAAATACACTTCTACCAAGGTAATATCGACAATATTAATATTATCTAGAATAAAAAAATAAATGACAAAATTTTATATCAGAAATTAGTAAGCAATAACTTATTTAGTCTCATCTATACCCAGGCAAGCAAAAAAAAGAGAGGACTGGCGACATGTCTAGTCCAAAACGTCCGCAACAGCCGTCCTGTCTAGTCTAAAATACTGAGTGTGGCCGTCAGGACTGGTCAGTATTTTAAAAAGCGACATACTGACAGGACTGGACTAGTCTAATATTTCTGATATATATGTCAGGACTAGTCTGAGATATTCTGAGGACTAATCAAGTCTAGTCCGAAGTATTTGGTGGCGGCGTCAGGACTAGTCAAGTCTAGTCCCAAATATTTGGTGTCGGTATCAGGTCTAGTCAAGTCTAGTCCCAAATATTTGGTGTCGGCATCAGGACTAGTCAAGTCTAGTCCCAAATATTTGGTGTTGGCGTCAGGACTAGTCAGTGTCTTATGAGGTAATATAATGACGGGACTAGACTAGTCTAATAATTTTGAAATATATGTCCGGACTAGTCTGAGAGATCCTGAACACCAGTCAAGACTATCGTGTTTTACTAGAAATGGCATGCTGTCTGAATCAGACTAGTCCGAAATTCAGTACGACATTTTACATTGATAGTTGGTTATGTCTTTAATACTTGTCGAGTCTAGTCTAATTACAGAAACTTAATGTAATTTTGAGTTTGAACTCGTTACTTGTTTATGAAAATTCTTTGTCACCTTCAATTCAATACATCTCAGTACATATTCATAACCTAAAATTAACAAAGTTACAAACTTGCATTTAGAAAAACACCACTGTTTAATTATCTAAGATTCTACAATGGTGTAGTTTATTTATCGATTATCAATTATCAATTTTTTTTATTAATCAGGAAAATTTATTGAATTTGAAATGCTAAAAATCTTTAACTCCGATTTGTCTTTGTCTTTAACTGTTTTTATCATAGAGAACAGAAAAACGAAAAATAATTATTTTTGTCATATTTTCGTTATCGTAAGATTACTGTTCATTAAATTATAAACTGTATGAATTTTCGTCAACAATATTATTAATCTGATCAGTCATATTTATAAAGAAGAAAAAGGTTTTTTTTTTATTTCATTGTATATGGAACATTTGAGATTGATGATTAAATCACTAGTTTATCTAATTGGTTCTTTAATTTTTTTGTCGTATATTCAAGCGATATCTGACCGAATATTTATATATATATATCATTGGTTTCGCCATAGAAACAGCGCTCTCTTTAACTCTCTTCTTCTTCGTCCTCTCCTAAACATATATAAATAAGATTTCACAAAAATCTGTTCTGTTCGTGGCTTCATATGAAGAATGTTTAAAATGAAAGAAACATGTGAATCACGTGTACAAGCACTATTTAAGAATGATATAATTTTCTAGCATTCTTTGATAATATCAGGTGTTTTAATAAAGACTACTGCGACTGCTTACGGAAAATTAGTTGCTGGCAGTTGTATCTCATTCAGTTTTGCTGATGATAAAGTAAAACATGATCTTATTCGAGCTATTGTTCAATTACAAAAAACACCACTCATCTTTTCATCGAAGAACTTGTGGAAATTAAACCTGGAACATTAAAAATTAAATTTAATATTTCTAATGCTCAATATCAAGTACCTAATATTTTACGATTCAAGTCATCAACCATTTTCCATCTGAAGCATCCAAAATTTATCTTGGGAAAAAATTCTTGTATACGTTAACCTGGTAATGGTTTTACTGTGTTAGAATTTCCTAACTTAAATGCCAATAGTTAACAGATAAAAATCATTTTTACTATTAATAAACATAAATTTTTTCTTTAAAAGAACTTCTCAAATCTAATTTTCTCGATCTAATCTTCTGAGAGAGTGCTAAGTGTAACTAGGAATTGAAACTTTTGATTTGTATTGATATACATCATTAAATAGTCTCTTAGTACATGAATTAATAATTCTTATTAAATAATATTATGAACTTCTCTGATCATTAACGTGTGAAAGACGTGTCAGGAAGAGCTAGATGTGTCACTGATGAAACATCAGCGTGTATGGTTCAATTGTTTGCCAAGCTTGGTATGTAACACAAAGTATGTATGTTCGAATCTAACCTTCACCGCTTTGCTTCTATAATTTAGACTAGTCTGGACGCCAACATCTGACTGACAAAAGAACGGATTTCAGACGGTATGAATGACTAGTAATTGTGTAATGTGTAGCATGTAGTTGGCAATATGATCGATATGCACATATATATTTTTCAATTTTTAAATATATCGGACGGATGTCATGACGGACCGTTGGGACTAGTCCAGAGACGACAAGAGGAGATACGAGACCATATATTTTTGTGACAGACTGGCGTCATGTTGCCGTGTCTTGACTAGTCATTCCCTTAAAAAGTGACCCCACATGACTAGTCTATTTCAACAACTATTACTAGTCTGGACTAGTTCTTTTTGCAAAAATGACTAGACTATATTGAAATACTGACTCCCGTCTCTGGACTAGTCAGGACGCGGTGTACGGACTCCCAACAATATCAGACTAGTCATGTCTAGGTCGTTTTGAGAAAAAGACTAGTGAGTGACGGGGCGTCATGACTAGTAAAACTAACTAGTCTTTTTACCCGTCTTTTGCCCTCCTGGGTATAGTTATAAATCCAATTGAGACACCGTACAAGATTAGATAAATACAAAAAGAAAATAAACACATGTATAGAGAAAAATGGCACAAACAGAAAAAAATCTTAGTATAGTTATAGCTATACTATCATATAGTTCCACTTTTTTTTTTTACATTTTTCGACAAGTATTTCAAGTAATTTTTGAGCAGGTAAATGATTGAGATTCATGTACATGATAACAAGAAGTGCTAATAACTTATGAAGACCACTAACTGTAATCGACACAGGCATTTTATACGGCAAGTTTTTCACAAACATAAAAGCTTTTTCAAAACCTGTTGCACCTGATGGCATTATTAAGATTCCGATGATAGGATGAGGATCAGTGAGACCATCCTAAATCAAAACGAAACCAAGGCTTGCGATTAATAAAATTGAAAGTTCTTTACTTTATAAAATATATTTTGTTCATGAAGATCTTCACATAAATTTTGTATTGCCAAAAAATCAGCTTCACTGATCTAAATAGAGAAAAGCTGAATCAAAAATAGACAACTGGTAGAACAAAGATACTCACTTGATGTGCATGTCGAATTGAATATTTTCGGATAATATCATCAAGTATAATTCGAGCTTCACTTTGAAGTTCTTCATATGAACATAATTGATTTTTCATTAATGAATATTCAAATATAAGCTACAACAGAAATCAAAATAGCAATGAATTCAACTAATTAAGAGAACAATAGACTAAATATAAAAAATTACTCACTGCTTCTTCGTGGAACAGCTCTTGGTGTTGTAAAACCTTCAATGTGAATGCGGCATCTTCGTTCTCTGATAATGTTTGACGTCTTATTTTGTGAGTGCTTCAACCAAGTACATGAATTTCACCAACAGACACATTTTGCACACATTTTCCCTTTGGTTTAATGATGGGTCGAAGGCGATTAACCTCTTTAAAATAGGCATCTTGTTCGGATTTGAATACCTTCTGATACGACACTTGTTCACCATTTGTTACATTTTTTAATTCTCCAATATTGTCGATTAAGATTGCTATAAGCAAGTGACGCTTATCATTGAAAAGAAATAAAATAACTTACGTTTTAAAATATTTTCTGTTTTTTTTGGTTGTTGTTGTACTGATATTTTTTCATTTTCATCTGAAACATAATAAATTATAAAGTTGCATAGGATATCAAAGTATACTTTGTTGCTTCTGTACCTCGAGGTAATATTACTTTATGCACCGCTACAATAGATTGTGATTGAACTAAATATTAAAGATATTAGTTTCTTATGCCATATAAGTATTCTCAGTAGTATAAAGATCGAGGGGATATAGAAGGGCGTTCAATCTTGAAGTCTTGTGAAGTCATTTGAAGTCTTCTACTACGTTAAGAAGTGTTTTGAAATCTTTTAATTTTAACTTTCTGTAAATGTTGAAGTCTCTTGATCAGAAGGACGAACCAAAGAAGAAAAATTTTCTTTAAAACATAATCTATACAGATAGTCTTTTCTTTTATCATCAAGTGCATGGATTATTCTGATTGATTCGTGCAGGAACGAAAAGAAATAACAATTTTTTTTCGCTTAAGTAGTCGGAATTTTTTTCTATTCTCTTTCTGTGTGAACAATGCTGACTATTTTCGTTTTGTTTACATTTCACTTACCTGATGTTAAATGCATACGACCGCCATGATATATAAGAGCAGTTGGTGTAGTTTTTATAAGAGGTAATTTACACGAAATAGGTTTTGTATGAATGGATGAAACATTTACAAATGGTGGATTCGATTGAGGTACCATTGAAATAGTTGCTCGTGGATCATTTTTGGAACTTGTTGGTGGTCGCATTGGTGTACTAGTAATTGGAGGTGGTATAGTTAATTGTTCTAAATAGGAAAAATCAAACAAAAGTTTAGATAATGATATATTTATTGCTTTGAGTTGAAGTTGCTCACTGGCTTGATTAGATGGTAGTGCTACAGGTTCAGCAGCGTTGGATTCATACAACAACTCATTCAAATCAATAAATGAAGATTGATTCAACAAATCTATAGATAAAAACGATCGGCTCTCTTCGCTACGGTCTTGCATAAACTCACTATTTTCATTAAATTGAAGTGTTCTATCAGTTTTAACTTCTTTTCTTGTAGTTTCTTCAATAATCATTTGTTTACTTATTTCTTCGTTGGCAGTTGAATCAATTGTGGATAATCTTGATCTTTTAGGTGTTGGATGAGTTTTGAAATATTTTATATTCCTTTTCTTTCGAGACAGCAGTTGTGAGATTGTGTGCTACAAGTAAAAGAAAGTGGTCTTATATAGAAGTCTTTTATCAGCTGTTTACATATATTTAAAAAAACTTACGTGTGGTGCTCGGCCCATTTTCCCATCAATATTTTTATTTAGATAATTTAATGTCGGGAATTTTTCTGTCAGAGCTAAGACGAAAGAATAATGAAGAGATTTTGATGATGAATTAGAATATTGTCGAAGAAAATGAAAGCATGTTTGCTCCAAAAAGATCTTTTGGATCGAAGCAAAAGACTCTAAAACATATAGATATAATTAAGATTTAAGTAAGTATTTAACAAAACGCGCAATTGCAAACCATGAATTATTAAATCACAATATTCAGGTAATACAATTGGTTCATCATTTCGATTCTAAGCAAAACATCCAAAAGAATGGCAAAAATGAAAACAAGTAGCTTACATCAAATTCAGTTTCTTTTTTTTCTAATTCTTCTTGGACAAGCTTTTTGTGTAACAAAATTGTTTTTTCCATCATTTTTATCTTTATTTAAAGATGATGATAATGAATGATCAGCAGAATACAGATTTGACGTATTCGACATATCGAAATTCATTTTAATTCCATTAGGTTGATCACTAATTTGTTCAAAAGAAGTAAACTCAAAATAATCAGTAAGTTCAGCATCATAAAATTGTCTTGATCTATGTTTTTGATCAGGAAAAAGTGATCTTATTTTGTCAATAATTGAATTATAATCAGTTCCAATAACTGTTGTTTTACCACCTTCATGTTCAAATATAATCTTCATCTAATGGAGAGAAGCAAACATGAATTATTATTTTCAGATTAGCTATGCACTGCTGCATTTGTAAAATCGATTGTAATACTCTATCAACATATGTCAAACATCAACGTGATCTACATAGTCACAGTAAAAATATCCGTCTTATTTGCCCATGTGATGGTTCTTTCAGTAGCCTTCGAAGTCTTCAAGCTCAGTAAGACTTTGTTTTCTTATTAATTTAAGCAATATATTTATCACTAACTTTTAGTTGGTGTTGCTTTCATAAGGAGGAAGAATTACATGATGAAGATATGCAACAGGATGAACAGGAAGAATATAATGATGTGGCTATGATACATCGAAGTAGCCAAGAAGATTATCCACTCGAAGATGTTCAAGAAAGTAGAGATCTCAAGAACATGTCGACAGATATTCGGAATGCGGCGAAAGATTTAAGTGAAGAAGAGCTACTTGAAGTGTTTGAAAAACGTATCTTATATCCTGTGCTTACTCTTCAAACGGTATTCTATACATCTGAGGCAGCTATTGAGTTTGTTGTCTCAAGCCTAATGGAATTATTTCTCGCTATTTCAACGACAAATTTGGTCTGAACGCTAGTGTTAATCACGCCTCAATAAATATCTAATTTTCATCCTTGTAGAATGTCAAAGCTTTAGCTGTCTGTCTAGATAAACTGAAATCTAGTCATATTCGAAAAAAAAGCTGCAGAATATTTTCAATATATTGAACCCATAAGTCGATCATATCAAGTATGTTGATAAAATAGTTTCTTAGCTTAACATTTAGGCAGGAAAACTGTTTTTTTTAAAATAAAGATTGATGAGAAACTATAAAAAAATCGATGATTATTTTTCTTTTTCACAGACAATTACCAAGAGCAAGGAAGTTAAGACTGTAAAGTACACGTACGTGCCTTTTCTACAAAGCCTGGAGAACTATTTACAACTACCGAAAGTTCAAGCTGACCTTCATCGTGTTCTACCTAATTATAATCCAAACTGTATTCAAGATACTCATGACGGAATGTTCGCCAGAAATCACCTAAATTTTCAAAAATCCACATATCTAAAAATTGAATTGGATTCAGATGATTTAACAATTACTAATCCTATTTCACATCGTGCTCATTCAATTTTCTTTTTTTACTGGTCTCTCCTAAATGTTTCACGAGAAAAAAGATCAAGGCAGTCAGCCAAAAGACTTATTGCAGCCTGTCCAAAATGGTCGAGAAAGTTCAATTCATTATGTCATACAATGGATGATTTTTTAATGGGCATAAATCAACTTTCTACTTCTGGTAGTATAAAAACTATCTACAAAAAAATGAAGACATTTTTCTCCGAATTAGGTATCACCATCAATATAAATGGCAGCGATATCACTTATTTCGGTGGTTTATTTATCTCATTAGGTGATTACCCAGCTCAAATGTCTCTAAACGGATTCAAAGAAAGTGTCGCTGCAACACATTTTTGTCACCTTTGTGACATTCAGCACAATGATTTAGAGGAAGATATTTGCCATGATTTTCAAGCTATTACTTTACCTCAATACAGAGAACGGTCTGTTAGAAAAAATTGTTCTTACCTTGAAATTTTTTTTTCAGTTGTGACGACTTGGAACTTGTTCAAGGTTGTGGTCAATCGTTTGATTATTTATCTAAAAAATATGGAATAAATAATCGAAGTTTATTTGATCAAGTGCTCGATGTCACACGGCAATGTCCTTACGATGTAATGCACACTTTGTTAGAGGTAAAATAACGACTTAGAAGTTGTGGTAATTCATACCTTGGATTAATTTTTTATAGAAAACGAGAGGATTATTATATGATGGGATATATTTATTATAAAGATTTAGAAATTCAAAAGGTTTCGGCTGAGTTTGACTTAAAGATGGTTCGAAAGTCTTCAAGAAAATGTTGTAACTGATTTAGATTTTGGCAGAGTACAAAGAACTTTTTAAGTTGTAAGACCATGAATCCAGTTGTTTCCTTTGGAACACTACTGATACATTGATGTTTCTATTTAATCATGTTCTACTATGCAAAAGAATATAAACAGAATATTTGTAGGATTTTTGCAATTCTGCTTCGTATAAAACTTTGGGAGAATAGATGAAAAATCTGAGAAAATTTCAGAAACTTAATATCTCTATAAGTAAGCTTTCGTGTATTATTTTAAGAGTGTGCTTCCAAGTCATCTCAACGCATTTTTGGATTTCTGTGTAACAAAAGGCTACTTCACATTGAATGAATTTTGTCTGGAAGTTAACCAGTTTTCATATGATGAAACTGAACTAAATTCAAGGCCTCACCTCGATCTAACAGCAGATGAATTAAAAAAGCAAAACAGTTTGGAAATGCCACTTACATTAATGCAGACGTTTCACTTATTTATCAATTTGCTCTTCATTCTCAAGAAGCTGCTGAATTCATCGGACTTACCACAATATAAAGCAATTCTAACTTGCATGGACATTCTCTCATTATGCTTTGCATACACAATCAATAGTGTTACTCATGATCAATGGCATCATTTCATAAATAAGCACAATGATGAATTTAGAAAACTATATCCAGGCAAAATGAAATTTAAATTCCATTTCATGACACATTTTCCAGCGATAATGAAAGATTTCGGGCCGTTGCCTTACACTTCATGTTTAGCTACGGAAAGAAAACATCAGTTTTTCAAGGGTAACAAAGTGCGCAATCTGAAGAGTCGTTCATTAATGTTGGCTCGAAGATATGAATTGTGGATTTGCATCAATGATCGTTCTCAAGATGGATCACTGTTACATATCGCTCTGTTAGATGCTCCTCATGGCCGGCTTGACGATCATCAACCAATATCTGATGGGCAAATACAATTCATCATATCAAATATGCCGAATTTATCATTTAAACCACTCTCTACGTTAAAAGTGTTCCCTTCAAATGGCTACAAATATTCAAACAACTCAATTCTCAATGTTTCCAAAAAACATTTTCCCTTGTTGCCGAGTGTTGGCAAGATTAAATGGATCCTTTATGATGGAAAAAACTGTGCGTTCGTTTGTACCATGTATATGGTTAAAGGCTATGTGCAACAGCTAAGAGCATTTGAAGTTCAAAAAACAAACAAAATAGACTATTTTCTTCTTAATAATATTTGTTACAAGAAACCTTTGAAATTAGTAGTTTTCGCGGACGGTTCGCTATATTTTCCATTACATTCCTATGGTAAATCTTTTGCTGCCTTATAGATATTCTTGCTGATAATTTTCATTTGTTGCCTCTCAGTTAATATCTTTCGGAAATAAACTCTTTAAAAAACTTAGTTTCAATTTACTCATTCAATTTAAGTACATTTAATATATCACGAATAACACTATCAGAAATGAATGTAAAGAGAAACATATACACTGTAAACAATACCACCAGCAATTAACTAATATGAAATGAAACATTCACAGCAAATAATACTACCAAGTATAAATAAATCTAAACAGAAACAGAAACAAATTAAGAAATAAGAATAAAGTGTGCCGCTAACCTATTTTCTATTTTACAGTTTTAACAACAAAAATCAGCTGATTGAGCCTGAAAAAATATAAATATTTAGAACAAAAAGAAAATTATGAAAATTACGCACTAAAGAAAAGCGTACATCACCACGCTGAATATTACAAATTAAATAGTTCACCAAATAGAGAGCACCATGAAAACTAGTATTTTTCTAAAAAAAAATATTGAATAATTGTAATGTATTAGGGTGTGGGTGTGGGTGTTCATAGTAGAAGAACAGGACCCACACTCACACTCACACCTACACCCACATCCACACTCACAGCCACTCACACCCACACTCACACCCACACCTACCCACACCCATACCCACACCCACCCACCCACACACACACCCACACACCCATACCCACACCCACACACCCACACCCACACCCA